CAGGAACTTGCATTTTGGTAGCAAAGTGTTCAGCAAAGAGGTCCGCCTTCTCTTGACTACTAGTAGAGGTGGTCCCATCCTGTCGATTTAGAGGTGGAATAAGTTCATCAGGCAGATAACCTTGTCTGTCCTTGACCAGGGACCACCAGGTTTTGGAGCCTACCCTACCTGATGCTAACTTTCTTTTAGTGTCCACCTCCCATTTAGCAATGGCCCACTTTTGAACATCACCCATATGCCTACAGGCTTGCATGTGCAAGTTCCTGTTATAGGTGGTAGGATGTCTCTTATACCTTCGCCATGCTTTGTACTTAGCAGTAGCTCTCTCTCTCTCGCTCTCTCTCTCTCGCTCTCTCTCTCTCGCTCTCTCTCTCTCGCTCTCTCTCTCTCGCTCTCTCTCTCTCGCTCTCTCTCTCTCTCGCTCCCCTCTCTCTCGCTCTCTCTCTCTCGCCTCTCTCTCTCTCGCTCTCTCTTCCTCTCGCTCTCTCTCTCTCGCTCTCTCTCCTCTTCGCTCTCTCTCTCTCGCTCTCTCTCTCTCGCTCTCTCTCTCTCGCTCTCCTCTCTCTCGCTCTGTCTCTCGCTCTCTGTCTCTCGCTCTCTCTCTCTCGCTCTCTCTCTCTCCGCTCTCTCTCTCTCTCTCTCGCTCTCCTCTCTCTCTCCGCCCCTCTCTCTCTCTCGCTCTCCTCTCTCTCTCGCTCTCTCTCTCTCTCGCTCTCTCTCTCTCTCGCTCTTCTCTCTCTCTTGCTCCTCTCTCTCTCTCTCGCTCTCTCTCTCTCGCTCTCTCTCTCGCTCTCCCCTCGCTCTCGCTCTCTCTCGCTCCCCGCTCTCTCTCGCTCTCGCTCTCCCCTCTCTCTCGCTCTCTCTCTCTCTCGCTCTCTCTCTCTCTCGCTCTCTCTCTCTCGCTCTCTCTCTCTCGCCCCTCCTCTCTCTCGCCTCTCTCTCTCGCTCTCTCTCTCTCGCTCTCCTCTCTCTCGCTCTCTCTCTCTCGCTCTCTCTCTCGCTCTCTCTCTCTCGCTCTCCTCTCGCTCTCTCTCTCTCGCTCCCCTTCTCTCTCCTCGCTCTCTCTCGCTATCTCTCTCTCGCTCTCTCTCGCTCTCTCTTCTCTCGCTCTCTCTCTCGCTCTCTCTCTCGCTCTCTCTCTCTTCTCGCCCCTCTCTCGCTCTCTCGCTCTCTCCTCGCTCTCTCGCTCTCTCTCTCGCGCTCTCTCTCCCCTCTCTCCCCGTCTCGCTCTCTCGCTCTCGCTCTCGCTCTCTCTCGCTCTCTCTCGCTCTCTCTCGCTCTCTCGCTCTCTCTCGCTCTCTCTCGCTCTCTCTCTCTCTCTCTCGCTCTCTCTCGCTCTCTCTCGCTCTCTCTCGCTCTCTCTCGCTCTCTCTCGCTCTCTCTCGCTCTCTCTCGCTCTCCTTTTCGCTCTCTCTCGCTCTCTCTCGCTCTCTCTCGCTCTCTCTCGCTCTCTCTCGGGTCTCTCTCGCTTTTCTCGCTCTCTCTCGCTCTCTCTCGCTCTCTCTCGCTCTCTCCGCTCTTCTCCTCTCTCGCTCTCTCTCGCTCTCTCTCGCTCTCTCTCGCTCTCTCTCGCTCTCTCTCGCTCTCTCTCGCTCTCTCTCGCTCTCTCTCGCTCTCTCTCGCTCTCTCTCGCTCTCTCTCTCGCTCTCTCTCGCTCTCTCTCGCTCTCTCTCGCTCTCTCTCGCTCTCTCTCGCTCTCTCTCGCTCTCTCTCGCTCTCTCTCGCTCTCCTCTCGCTCGCTCTCGCTCGCTCTCGCTCGCTCTCGCTCTCTCTCGCTCTCTCTCGCTCTCTCTCGCTCTCTCTCGCTCTTCTCTCGCTCTCTCTCGCTCTCTCTCGCTCTCTCTCGCTCTCTCTCGCTCTCTCTCGCTCCCCTCTCGCTCTCCTCTCGCTCTCTCTCGCTCTCTCTCGCCCCTCTCTCGCTCTCTCTCGCTCTCTCTCGCTCTCTCTCGCTCTCTCTCGCTCTCTCTCTCGCTCTCTCTCGCTCTCTCTCGCTCTCTCTCGCTCTCTCTCGCTCTCTCTCCGCTCTCTCTCGCTCTCTCTCGCTCTCGCTCTCTCTCGCTCTCTTCTCGCTCTCGCTCGCTCTCGCTCGCTCTCGCTCTCTCTCCTCTCGCTCTCTCTCGCTCTCTCTTCCTCTCATCTCGGCTCTCCCTCTCGCTCTCTCTCGCTCTCGCTCGCTCTCGCTCTCTCTCGCTCTCTCTCGCTCTCCTCTCGCTCTCTCTCGCTCTCTCTCGCTCTCTCTCGCTTCTCTCGCTCTCTCTCGCTCTCTCTCCGCTCTCTCTCGCTCTCTCTCGCTCTCTCCTCGCTCTCTCTCGCTCTCTCTCGCTCTCTCTCGCTCTCTCTCGCTCTCTCTCGCTCTCTCTCGTTCTCTCTCGTCTCTTTTCGCTCTCTCCCCGCTCTCTCTCGCTCTCTCTCGCTCTCGCTCTCTTCGCTCTCTCTCGCTCTCTCTCGTCTCTCTCTCTCGCTCTCTCCCTCCTCTCTCGCGCTCTCTCTCGCTCTCTCTCGCTCTCTCTCGCTCTCGTCTCTCGCTCTCGCTCCTCGCTCTCGCTCGCTCTCGCTCTCTCTCGTCTCTCGCTCTCTCGCTCTCTCTCTCTCTCTCTCTCGCTCTCTCTCTCTCTCGGCTCTCTCTCTCTCTCGCTTCTCTCTCTCTTCGCTCTCTCTCTCTCTCGCCCTCTCTCTCGCTTCTCTTTCCCGCCTCTCTCTCTCTCGCTCTCTCTCCTCGCTCTCTCTCTCGCTCTCTCTCTCTCTCGCTCTCTCACACACCACACTCACTCACTCACTCACTCACTCACTCACTCACTCACTCACTCACTCACTCGCATGCATGTGTAGTGTGACCTAAATGTAAGTAGAAGTAGCAATACTTGCTTGAAACCTTGCGTGTTTGAGACAGAAGACACCAGTAATCCTACCATGGAAAACAATTACAGGGTTTTTCACACAACTGGCAGGACGGTAGTACCTCCCTGGGAGGTTGCTGTCTACCAACCTACTACCTCCATCGTTTCTCACTGTTGTCCTAATTGCGCTATTTGGGTCAGAAATGTTAATGATCCACACTAAGCGTACTTGGCAACGTAAAGATGTATGAAGCGCACACTGGGTATATTGTGTATCTGATTATGGTGTTGAGTGTCTGATTATGGGGCTTCATGGTGAATGGAGAAATGTGTGATGGGTGGGTGGACACTGCACATAGAGAGGGAGGCTTGGGTGAAATAGGACAGGTACGACGAATGGAGAATTATTAGAGATCGAGAATAACGGTAATAGGGTGGGTGTTTCATATAGGGGTTGGTTGTGGTGGGAGAGGTTAAAAAAAAAAAACAAGTGTTTTTTAAATCTTGTTTATGTAATGGCTGACACTGATATTGCGAAACTTTTTTTTTTTTATCTACACGCTATGAAAGTTGGCAGCATTAGTTAAATACGCAACCAAATGACTAAGTTTGCTCTCGTGGAAAGAGGTAACTTGGTGAAGAGGTATCTAACTTCTTTGGTAGTGGACATAATTTTGCTAGCCTTCACTTGAGAAGACTGAGCTTTTAATACAAATAGGTAAAGGACCCCAAGGGGAATCACATATCTAGCTCGTGTCTCCTGCTCTGAGTGGCAGGCTTCAGCGTCAGGTGATCTAAAGGCTGACTGCCTTCCATGAAGGGTATATTTAATAAATGACGTTAATCTCTAATGGAAAATGTTCAAATTTTTCATGTGTGGTTGTCTGACGCAGCAACATTTTGTGATCTTTATGCAAGGACGGAAATTATTTCCTAACCTATAAGTATGACTTCAACCCTGGTTTCCCCCCTGCCCCCAACTGGTGACTCCTCCAGCTGCTTCATATCACATGTGCCGTATATAAACCCCCATTTTCCGTGCACATGCCCGACTGAATCTCTCCAGGCTGAGGCACTGATTACCTAAAACTTTTATACTATTCTCTGTATTGTCCTGAAGTCACCGGATGGCGAAAAGTTTCCTCAGTAATACCCAAGTGTTCTCGTTCATCAACTTGTCCGTTTTTATAAACTATTGTATAAAGTAAATGCTTCGGCTCATTTCAAAAGCACAGTCTTGTCTAAAGTATTCTAACTTCCTTTCCCCTGGTATGCGACCCACAGCAGCCGACTAATACCCAGGTATCTGCTTATTGCTAGGTGAACAAGAGTAAGGAAGCTTTACCAACGTTTAAACCTTTGCCGGGTATCACAGCACGGACCCTCAGTACGCGGGTGGTATACGCTACCAAACGAGCCACGAAATGAAATTTATCTTGTAACGATTATAAATGTACAAAAAATTACTGTCATAGGTCTTAAGTATTGGTCAAACACTTCCCTGCATTATAATTGAAGTCTTGGGATAATCTGGCCTTAAAATGTTTTTGTAAACAGATCCTTATTGAACTAGATCTAACTTCTCTCAAACATAATAGACTGGTGACTGCAGACAGTAATTATATTGTGGTTTCATGAAGGGGAGGGGGAGGAGGAAACGGCAAAAGTTGAGCATACTACCTGAAGACGTCCAAGAATCTTTAGAATAAAATTAATTTGCAACATTTGCTATTCCAACAACTCGCTCTTGTCAAAATTTCAGAAAAATAAAAAAGTTTACTCCTCATTAGGGAATGTACTAACGTTTACAAATGTTAACTGTTGTGCCTCGGATAGTCTTGCCTAAAAGTAAATGGCTTATTAACGAACGTCAGTGAGTGATACTGCATTTTTTTGCTCCAAGTTTTAACACGGTGAAATACAAAATACAAAAACGTTAGATGCCTTGTTAAATAATTCCCATCAGTTTTAATAGAAGAGTTTAAGTGGTAAAAATCAAAGGCTGTTCTGTATCTTCCGTAAGTTCTAAAATACTTGCAAAATGGCTGCTCGAACAAGAATAGGTCTAATCTCTAATCGTGCAAGTTTTTTTGACTATTTTCAGAAGCTGGGAAATACTAATCTCTAAATTCAGCCTCGGGAACTAATACCAGTGTATTTCAGGTGGAGGACGGTGTGTTAGTGGCTGTGGCTAATGCACTCTCGGGAGTCAAGTTCTACCAGTACAACGGGTGGAGGTTCATTCCCACCACACGTCAACACACTGGTGGCCCTTTCAGTGCTGGCGTTACCTCCATGGCTGCACTCTCCTGGAACGGCAACATCATGATGGGTGAGTGGATCTAGAGGTGTTATGTGGAATGGGAGAGCGCGTTGTTGTGGATGTTCATTATAAGTACTAAGCTTTGACAGGTCATTCAGTGCAGTAAGCGAGGCATGCTCCTCTATCGACAAAAGACTGAAGTTAACCTACCTACCTACCTGGGTTGGGGGGGTTAAATTTGATTGTATCGGTTAATGCATGGGCGCGTTGGCAGCGGCGTATACGAGGAATGGTACTTTAACAAGGCGAGCCAGGTGATGGTAAAATGTTAAGTGCATCAGGTCATGATTAGTGAGCAAGGTGATAAAGATGGATGAAACATTGTTGTAAACGAATGAGTTGGTCTGTAAAGCAGGTGACTGGGAGAGGGAGGAAGACATTCAGATGATGGATAGCTAGCCAGATAGCTTAAAAATTTGGTAAAAGCGTTAGACTCCAGAGGTCCTTGGTCAGACTCCTTGACGGCCAAATGACAACCCTGGCCACTTATCGCAACAGTAAATGCTTACCTGGGATTCTCCTCTCCATAGCTAGGTTTAGGCTGCGGAAAATTAGCTGAAGTATATATTTGCCTCAAAGATGAACACAGTCTGGACACGCTTGTATTTTAAGATTGGAAAATAAAAATAAAAAAATTCTGCAGGTGTGACCAACCACAATACGGAATACTCTTCCCCACAAGTATCTTCTCTTTACACTTTGACTTTCAGCAGAGACACTACTCTAGAGGTGAGTGGATGTTAGTATTGCAGAGGGTGTAGGGTTCATTTGGTAGAAGGTTAATCAGATTTGAAGGTTTGCCTGACAATTTTCTTAAGATTAAACTCCTGATAAGGTTTGCGATATGAAAGATTTCACTTTAATTTTCTTTAATTCAGCTACTGAAACTTCTCTTTAATTTACCACAAAGGCATAATGTAGTACCATAAACTCCCCTGATTACACTTAGTGAGGGGCACTAAGGAGTCTGATTCAGTTAAATTTGGAGTTTTAATACCTATAGTAGAGTAACACTAGTCTACCTCTTTACCCGAATGATTCCAAAACTGTTTGCGTCTTTCTCCATTAGGAGTTTCATATGAGAGCAGAAAGCTGGTGTAGAGAACGTATTGCCCAGTTGAAGAATGAAAACCTGTTGACGCTGGTGCACCAGGTGGAAGGAACCCCGAAAGTAGCTCAAACCTATACCTTCACTGTGCCTGTGACCATCGTTGGCAACCTTAATGTGCAAGGGCAGAGTAGTGCCCTCCAGGTAAACTTAATTTTTTTGCTTCCTCTTCACGATACCTTAAAGCTGGTGAACTGTTCTTGATTCAAAGAACTGAAGCAGTTTCCCCTTCATAGGATTTTTTTATTAACCTGTCAACAAAGCCACCGGTAATAATTTAGGTACTAAGTTATTGGGGGTTACAGATTTACATTAGAGGACGCGACCAATGGCTCCCTGACCGTGTGAACCTGCTGGAGAGCCTCAGGGTGATGCTCTATGACAAGCTGCAGCAAGTGCGTCAACGTCTTGACGATACTATACCCTTGGCTGGCCCTACCACCTGGCCTGGTAAGATCTTGACACTTATGCTCCAAATCTTTAAGGTATTCAAATCGAACGGTTGTACTTCGTGCAATTATATGAATTAACGTAGTTGACTAAGAATAATTCCTTGCATGGTTGGGTCTTGATGTAGTTCAATTGAGTACTTCAATTATAAAGGTGCATAAAGTTTTCCTTGTACGGTATGTCATAGAAATATAAAAATCTTCTTAAGATGCTATTTTTTTTTTTAAGACCATGAACAGAGGTGTATGAATTTAACTTTGCGCAAAAATTTTTGTTGAAGCATAGTGTATTTATAGTAAAGACATTTTTACGTTAAGAATAGTTTCAGGCGGCATTTATTAGGCTGCTGTTGTGTATCTGCTGATCTGTTGATGGTTCTGGGGGTTGTGGCCCGGTCCTAAATCAGACCCCCCCCCCCCCGCTGCTTACTGGTCTGATCAGTAGCACAACTGGCAATAACATTTCTGTCAACAATAACCATCAGCGTGCAGACTAAAATTTCCCAAGCTAATAAAGGTCGGGAGGGGGTGGGGCTGATTCAACATTGGCACAGTAAAGTTAAACAGCACGAGGCTGATAACCCTGGGATGACACTTTCAGGTATATTTTGCAGGATTTTGCTTGGGTAGATGTGCATAAAAAGCAAACAAGGTCGTAGTTGTAATACTCGTTCGAAATGTCTTCCTCAGCTGATTTGCACTTAGCCAATTTAGAGGCTTGGGGGACTGACAGCATTTCTGTGGTTGACCTTCTGGGATCTCTTGTTAATAGCAAGGTCATGGAAAAGGAACGTGTATATCTAAGACTATCCGACCTGTCTCATCTGAAGCTTGACCACATTCACTTCCAGCATATGGAAATGCAGGTGCGTTAAGTAGAAGTTAGCTACGTATTTCACTTTGGGTTAAGTTTAACTTTAGACTTTAAACCATGTGGCTGTTAATGTATTCAATTTTTCATTAAATGCCATCCTCTGGATAGTTTTCAAGTGTATGATGTGCTGTACTTTGTCCTGAAGCTGTGCTGCTAAAACTGATTGAACTTTTAGATATTAAGTTTAGATTAACTTTACTTTTTAAAGGTCAGGCGTTTCTCTATATAGTATAAAGCTGTAAAATAAGTTTATAATTTCACAGGCGAATGCGGAAGTAGCTATGCTACAGAATCGAGCAATGGCTGAGTATGTCACCCTGGGAGGTGTACACACAATGAGTGGCCAGGTGACTTTTCTTAGGGTCATCAATGCTTCGCAGGTGACTTCAAGTGGATCACTTGATACAATCTTTGTCAGCCCCAGCACACTGCTGCTTGTAAACACCTCACAGACGCATACTGGTACGTCTGCGTCTGTGCTTTAAACTGTTTACTGCAGGAAATTATGTAGATTTGCCCCCATTACCCTTGACTTCTTAAAATACGTCCCATTTAAACTAAGCATACTCTTGATTCACTTCTCTTAACTTTATGTACTGTTTGCGCATACCAATATTTCTAACACAATTTTGCACTAGCTGTGACTCAAAATTTCGCTCTAATCTGCCCACGACTTTTGTCCAACACACACTTTGCTCCCGTCACCATACACCTGCCCTCAATTATCACCACACATGTCATATACATGTTTGTACCCGCCACATACGTAATTCCTCTTGGTTCCACAGGGTTGATCAGGTGTACTACCCTGGAGGCTGTAGCTCTCAACGTCCACACCATAAATAACATAAACACTGAGCAGCTGTTTGAGAGCCTCGTCACCAATGACAACTCTATCCTCACTGGTAAGACGTGCGCCTGTATTCCTGAAGGAATTTTAAGCTCTGTTCCTGACCCATCCTTTTTCTTATGAAAGGGCCTAATGACGAAAAATATGAAAATTTTCAGAACAAGTTTGTGTAGTTTTCTTAGTGGTTGAGATAAGTTATTGCGTAAATACTACTGAAAGCAAGATGGAAGTAACGAGTCTCTTGATTTTGAGTTTGCGGTTTTTAATTTTCAATTTACTAGTCTTCCCTTCAGGGTGAAAATGTCCAAAAAATTTAGTATACAGATATGTCGTGATAGATCAGAAAGACCCGGCATGTGCTGGTAATTTTAGTTCGTTCCCTTGAAAGCCATTCAAAATGTCTTGTAATTTTTTAAACGATTGAGTAATTTTATAAATGGTCAAATAGCCAAGAGTTTATATTTGTAATATGCGGGTGAACTTTTTTTGGATGTCCTGTACTTAGCGGTATATAAACTACAAATTAGCTCTAGATAGAAATGTCTAGTCAATCCTTATTTTCCTTAATCTAAAGAGTCTAGTACGTTGCTTACTGATCTCGGCAACTATAATTTTCCCCACACCTTGCTCATGGTAGCAGTATACCCGATTCATACACCAGCAAACCGAAAATTGTAGCAGTCGACACTACTTGCTACCTCTTCTGGCTCGAATTCTCCACCCTCTAAGTTTCTTAGGCTTGGTGCAGAAGCAGTGCTGTTGGGACTTCAACGCATTTTTCAATAGTTAGTCTTACGGCGTTTTTAACATGAAACTAAACCAGTTTGAGACTGGTAATATATTACCTGTGATTTTAATGACTGCTGATACATTTAAATGGAAAGTACTGAATTTTGTTTTCGGTCTTCGATATTTAAAGTTTCTCAAGTTGAGACCTAAAATTGGAATGCATATTGAAGATGGTCTGGTTTTCAATAACACATTTTAGTGTAGTTTCTGGTTTGTAGGTGGACATCAATTAGCCCGTTAAATTTATCAACCCGTGATCGAGGATTTTTTTGCAAGAGTGCTAAATAAATTCCACAGCTGCCTTTTTTTTTTTTTTTTTTTAAATCTCCTATAACTTAGTTTTTAGTATCGACGGTATGCCCAGGTTCAGGTTACTGACTTAATGTAAGCCAGACGGGTACAGCTTTTTCTGGAGGGCTTTCATGCAGAATAAGGTTTTATTCGGCTTTGGGTACTTTTCAAAATGGTTTGTAGAGAAGAGAGACCTGGGGCTGAGTTAACTCTCAGTTGCCCTGTTAAAAAATACTGTGTACTGCTCATCCACTGAACATTATATTGCTGTTACTTCAGAAAAACTGATATGAACCCCAACCATAAATTGAATTCTTGTGACTTCTGTTCGCACGTCATAACTAAAGTTTTATATTTTGTTACGTTGGTTAATATTTTGAGACACTAACCTACATAAACCTGTGCTATATAGCTTGAGACTTCCTGGAAAGTGAGAATCCCCAATTTAAGATGATGGGTTGGAATGAACATCTTTCCTACCGTCGATAATTAAAAGATAGACTGAGTATTAATTTGTATATATATAAAAAAAAAAGCTACTAGGTTATCAGTTCTCAACTGCAAATGTAATCTGACGTAGTTACAATTTTTACTAAACCTGGAGAAGGTTCATATTTTGGGGGAACTTCGTGTTTTATTAGGTCTTTGCTAGGAGCGCTCGTTCATTACCTCTTGCTACTTAATATTCTGGCTATGGTAATGTAAAGGCTATAAAATGGTTTAATAAGTCTAGGTATGTTGTTGAAATAAGGACAAGATGGAAAAGTAGATACGAATGCAGTATACAGCATTCCTTTGACAGCTACGCTCACAGCATTATTAAGCAGAAAATGTATGGGGAGTGTAGTGACGGGAAGGGTCAGGTGAGGAATGTTTAAAGTTGATTAATAGAGGTTGGTTTTGAGAAAAACCCTCCTGGCATGGGTCAAAGGGTCTTTTGCTCTGTAGGATAACGATAGTTTCTTGACAAGAAGTTAAACTGTTGTAAAAGCATTTCTGGTTAAAATTATTATATACAGATGAACGATGATTCAAAGATTCTGCGTCCCTGGGTATCTTCCCTGACGAGGAGTCTTGAGTTTGTAGCTAAATCGTCGTAAGCGTATTGGTGTTCCGAAATTAGTGCTTGGAAGTCTGGATGCTTCTCCCTTGTATCACTGGTTGCAATCGTGGAAAGGGATTGTATACCCTGTAGAGGATTGAACTTGTCCCTTACTGGTGATTTCTTTGTGGTCGATGTAGTGGTAGATACTTGGAATACAATATTGGAAGAGAAGTGTCTGGTAACGGAGTTAGTAAGGGGTATACAGTCAACTCGGCAATCAACTTGAACAATCCTCACCTGACCCTTAGTCACCATGCTTCCTACATATAATCCAGGTACTCTGGCTCAAGTAATCTGTTGACTTGGGCGAGACTGTCAATAAAGGATAGAATATTATGGCATTTGTCTAAGTTTCCATAGTGTCAGTATTTTAAACTATTCTTCATCGTGTCCGACACTGCAGTATATATGGATCCTTCAAGAGAATTCCTGGACATCTTCCTAAAAGCTACTCCATAATAGTCACAATCACAATTGTCCAATTTTATAAGCGACTGTGCAACGAAGGAAGCTTCTGTCACAAGTTTTGTTAATCTTCATGTAAATACTGTCTTAGTTCGGATTATATATAACTACTTGACGAAATTATTTATCGAACGCTCGTGCTTAATTTACCAGGAGCAGTGTTTGATAGTCTATCATGGTTAATTTGAATCTACTGTATATCAGCTTGGCAACGAAAAATTACTCGCGCACCTGGAAAAATATTTAAAATACGTAAACATTGATATATCCTGCATCCAAGGTGAGCTGGTGATTCGCGCTGACCTGCGAGCCAGCAATCTGAAGGCCAGCGCCACTAACCTGGACCTCCACAACCCACTGAAGATAGATGAGACAGAAGTTCAAGTTGTTACAGGTAATGCTAAATTTCTTTGGAAAATTCTCTGGCAGTTTATTGGTGGCGGAGAGTTTTGGATATCTGCCTTGTAAGAAGCAATTACTAGTTTACAAAATATGTAGCTGACGATAATATTTGCCCGCGATAAAGGCTGGTAAATGTTATCTTAGTTCACTGAATGAAGTCTCTCCACGAGCAGGGCATCACCAGGTGGGCGGCTTGTGGTGTCAGTCAACAAGGGTGGCCGGGAAGATCAATGGGGTAAGTGTACCTACAGAAGTGTTCCTGAGTCGGTCCGACTATTCCTACAGCGTCTCTTCAGCAGCCTTCACCAAACTCCACTCAGACGCCATACACATCAACACTGCTTTCCACACCATTACTGTAAGTATTTGTCACAATCAGAGCCGGAGGTGGAGGGGAAAATTGTCATTAAGGGTAGGTACGAGTTGAAATCAGTGGTTAATAGTGGTGATAGGATGAAGGGAAGTGGTGTTGGTTCTTGACACAGTAAGTAAGGCTAAGGACCTAGTCTCAAACTTGGTAGATAATCTCTCACGTTTAATTGCAGATTGTATCTTTGTGATCTTGTGGAATTTTATTCTATATCGAAAGCCCATTAAATGTTTGTTGTACATGCACATGTGTGCTTCACAGGTGAGTAATGGCTACCCGGATTGCTG